AAAGAGCTTGAGTCCCCCACCATAGCAATAACTTCATGGCTGTGGAAGCATCTGGAGCTGCTGGAAACTGTGTTGAGCAACCTGAGAGATCAAACCTGTGGTACTCTCATGGGGCTGCCCCAGGGCTGTGGGGCGAGGAGAAATAGTTCTGGGGAAATTTCATAACCATGATGAGGGCAAGAGATTTGGGCTTGTGGCTCCTCGAATGTTCAAGTGCAAATGAGCTCTGGTGCATAAATTGCCTTTGTGGCCAAACAGCTGATTCTCTGGGAGGCTCTGGGGCTGTTTCGGTAACATGTGTCTGTACCTGCAGTCATCGGGCTTCATTTTACAGACTGGTTTGTTTGTGTTTTAAGAGGTGAGGCCGGGGAAGCTCTTCCTTCAGGCAAGTCCTTATTGATAGCAAGTGCTGCCACACTATATTGCCCTGCAATTCAGCTGAAATGACAGACCAGTTTTTAACCCTTGGGTGATAAAATAGGTTTGTTCTCAATACAAGAAACAAGGAATTGGCTTGGCATGAGGCTTTGGTGCTATGCAAAACACTGACCTCTGGGTGCCAGGCTTTTTCTGTGGGAATAGAAAGTCCTTCCAAATCCTCCCCTTTATCGCAAAGGGCTTTTCCAAATGCTTTTGCTACAAACTCCCGACCAAGATTGTGTTGTGTTATTTTCACCCTGTGGGTTCAAATGAAACCTCCTGAGTCTGTGGCCCTCAGGAAATTCCCCTCCCTGGCTGGCTCTCACTTCTGTTCTGAGAAATTCTAGGGGAATTCAGCTGTTTCCACGCTGATGAAGATAATGCTTTTGGTGGAGAGGGAGTTCAGCATTTAATGTTCTTCTGATGGAAGCGATGTGCTCAGCACAGGCTCTGAACTCATGACCTTTCGCAAAATGCTTCTGACGCCTGATACTTAACACTTCTCTAACCTCATTTACAGGTGAGAGAAACTGAGACCATGGATGCCCGATGGCTTGACTACCCTGCCTCTGGAGACCTGCCAGATGACGAAGACATTGGCGAGTTCAGGCCTCACTTCACGTCTGATGAGTTAGATATAGATGAGACATCTGGGTCTGGAGGTAAATGGGGAAGGGGGGGAAATGGATCACTCTCAGTTGATGCTGTGAAATTTCTTCCAGCACGAGCCCATGAGTGATGGGCTAAGTGCACAGCCAGAGCTCCTGAGGGAACTACAGTGTCAGGTGGAGATGAGAAAGCCCTGTGAATCGTAGGCACTCAACAGATGAGAACAGGGAAAGTGGTTGTACCGTGATGTTGAATCACTGGGGGAGGACAGATGGAGTCCAGCCAAGCTTCTCTTACTGCAAGTGAAAAGGCATTGCACTGGCTGGATCTCTTTCCTGTTGAACTCCAAAGAACTTCTGAGAAAGTTTTTATAAAATAAAAGTAATAATTAAAAAATGCATGTATTGCTGAGGCAGTGTTAAAAGGCTTAAAGTTAGTGTCTCAGCTGAGGCCAAACAAGGTGAAGGACTAACTGGTGTTCAAGTGAACTCTCTGTGACATGCAAAGCTCCCTGCCCAAACCAGTTTAGCTCTGTGTCCCCTTTATGTGAACATTTGTTCTCTAAAAGGGAAAGAACAAGTGCTGAAATCGGTGCTTGACATGTTTGGGCAGATCTGGTACTGAGAGGGTTGGTGCACTCTCCTTTAGGGTTGGGTGGCGAGGGCATTGCCCTCCATTGGCATTAGCTTTAGCAAGCTATAGCAGACTTGCTTCTCAGGGCAGCTCCTGATAATCTGCAGCAGGGGCCAATGGATCCAGCTGCAGATCCCTCCCACTCCAGAGGTGTTGATTTTAAAATTGCATCTCATGGTCTTGTGCAATCAAAGCCATTGAGTGGAGAAAGTACTAGTAGATAGGAGGGAATTGTAGTCAGCAGAGAACGAGACTCCTAGTTCGTCTGCAATTGATGGTATTGCTGGAAGTGTCTGAATTCTGAAGTACCTAATTCAGTCTGAATTCTGAATTCTACAGTACCTGAAGGGGGCCTACAAGAAAGCTGGGGAGGGACTTTTCATAAGGGCAGTTAATGACAAAACAAGGGGAAATGGGTTTAAGCTGAAAGAGGGGAGGTTTAGATTAGATATTAGGAAGAAGTTCTTCACTGTGAGGGTGGTCAGACACTGGAACAGGTTGCCCAAGGAAGTTGTAGATGCCCCCTCCCTGGAAGTGTTTAAGGCCAGGCTGGATGAGGCTTTGAGCAACCTGGTCTAGTGGAAAGTGTCCCTGCTGATAGCAGAGAGGTTGGAACTAGATGATCTTTAAGGTCCCTTCCAACCCAAACCATTCTATGATTCTATGAATTCTGGGGAAAATGGCATGTAGTGAGATGAAACTGTGGTGCCCTATTCTATTTTTTAAATTTTATTTATTATTTCACCTGCCTTCTGCAGACTATACAGACTCTGAAGATGCCATATATCTGACCACCATGGATACTCCTGTGGTAGGTATTGTCTCTGGATGTTTTAAGCAACACGTAGTTACTCGGGTCTGTCTGTAAAGCTTTCTGAATACCCTTCTCCGTGAGACGTGGCATCAAGATGAATCTACCTGCATAAGCAGGAACAGTGTTCTCATAATGCACTAAGCAAACTTTCTTTTCCCTGCACACCCTCCTGCTTTCAACTGTAGGTAGGTTGGGTCCTGCTTACTGATGGGTGTGGTTTGCCTATATTCTGTAGATATCTGACAACTCTATCCCTGGAGATAGCAAGAGAAAGATAGAAGGTGAGAAGAAAAACACAATGGTGGACAATGAAATCATTCCAGACAAAGCCGTACCTGTTGAAGAGAACCTGTCCAACAAGATCTCCATGGCAAGCACAGCCAACAGCAGCATCTTTGAAAGAACAGAAGTCCTTACAGGTAATTTTGTCCTGATAAATTATTAATACTGTAAATCAAAATGATTTCTATTGATCCCTATTTCTCTGGGGAGCAGTTCCCTGCTGACAGGGGCAGTAAGATGTGTTACCTCTGTGACTTCCTGTAGCAGGGTCTCTTCTGCCTTCTAGTCTTTATAGAGCAGAGGAGCCTACTGCTTGCCTTGCTGGGGTAAACAGCTTGGTTTTGAGCCTGCCAGCTGACTGTTGGCTTAAGTGCCACACAAGTCATGTGGCAGCTGCTCTGCACCCAGATACCTAAAGAGGCATATCTAGCCATAAATCAATGACATCACAGACTTTCATATCAAATGCATTTTCCTTCTAACCTCTGCCCGAGTCCTGCCTTTTGTGAGCCTTGCCAAGAACCAAACAACCCCTCTAAGGGATGTGAACACCTGGGCAACTGTTAGGAGTCGAAGTACTTCTGTCTAGAGCAAAACCAAGCGCCTGGCCTCCCCTCAGCATGTGGGACAGATCTGTCTCAAGGCACGCTTCATCAAGCGCTTGGCCTGGTGGTCTGAGTACAACCTCAGCGCATCTTGCCAGTCTGCAGCTGTGCTCCCAGTTAGGGGAGGGACTGGAAAAGTAGATTGCAAAGCCACCTAACGAAGAAGCTGATTTAGTGCAATGAGTAGGTGTCACAGCAAAGGATAAACTTCACTAAAGTCTTGTGGCTACCCTTGGTGTGAGGAGAGAGAAAATCTTGTCGGTTTTTTGTGGGTTTGTGGTTTTTGGTAGCTGGAGTGTTTTTTGGAGGGAGATGGTGGTGGTAGTGGGATGTTGCTGTTGAATTGAAATACAGAGTCCCTAGAGTGTGCTCACACAGGTAGTTACCAAAGCCTTCAAACTGGAGCTCTACCATTTTCACTCTGTTTGTGGGTTGTGGTGGGGCTTTTTTGGGTGGGCTTTTTTGTTTTGTCTTCATGCAGGGATGATATCTTTTTGTCAAAATTTCTTTCTTGCACTAAACTGAAAGATTAACACAAACTGTTTAATGTGGAACGTGGTTATTCTATGGTTGTATGAAAAGCAATTTCTGACCTTTTCTAGTAACATCAGCTGGTGCTGAAAACGCCAGCAGATGTGGTGGCAGGCACGTGGGCAGCACTGACTCTGAAGGCAGTTCTGGGGGCTGGTACTCTTGAAGCAGATTTTGAGGTGTTTGGCTGATGGTTTGGAGTTGTCCAGGAGTTTAGACTTATTCCATGCTCTTTTTTTTTTCCTCCCCAGCTCTCATTGCAGGAGGGGCCGTGGGCCTCCTGTTTGCTGTCTTCCTGATCCTGCTCTTAGTCTATCGCATGAAGAAAAAGGATGAAGGCAGTTATGACCTTGGGAAGAAACCCATCTACAAGAAAGCTCCTACAAACGAGTTCTATGCTTAAAGCTCAGCAGCACCTTGAGCCCATCAAGGGACAAACAGACAGACTGTATGGAAACACTGTGCCCTCAGATGAGATGTGCTGAACAAATGCTTTTTTTGGATTGAATTTCAAAGCAGCTTTGAGAAAAAACAAATTTCCTACGTGACCCTTCCCATCCCGCTCAGCTAACAAGGGCCCAATGAAATACAAAGAGTCTGAAAAAAAAAACCAAAACCCCAAACCTCAATGTATTTTTTTTTTTTTCTAAAGCAAGTGTAAAAAGAATAAAGATGCCAAATTTTCTGCTTGGTTTTATAGAGGGTATATAAACACAAAACAGACTGTATGGAAGCAAACACCATGTGTTTGCATCCCGTGTGCTGTGCTCAGATTGGCTGCTTCTATCTAGAAGGTGGCTTTTTTTATAAACCTTGCTAATGGATGTCTTGCAGCAGGCTGTTATGTGAAGCATTTTTGTGGAGAACTATTTATGAATCTCTAACACTACAGATATTGTTGCCTTATCAGGGAGTAAAAGTCTCGTAGGGGCTCAAAATCCCTGAATGCCATAGAGGGCCTATGGGAATGTCTTCCCCAGGAGACTTCTGTCTCTTCCTGTCGGCCCCAGGCAAGGGTCATTAGTCCATGAAATCAGGACAACCAGTTTTGTTTGGCTATGATGACACCCTTTCCTTGCCTTCAGTCTCTTACCTTTTTTTAAGGATTGCTTGTAGGATTTTTTTATAACAAAATTTTAAAGAAAATAGCCTAATGTTTATATAAAGTTTGTAGAAATTGTTTTGAAATAATAATAAAAAAAAATCTACTTTTTTAATTTCCTCAGATTTATTTTTTCAATCCCTTTGTGTTTCTTTTGGCCGGGCATTTCTGTAGAGATGTTGTTTTATATGATTCATATTCTGGACTGAAGCAGAGTTTGCTACAGTGTGTTACAGGTTTCTTCTAGTTCTATAGCAGCTACTGTAGAGGGTAAAAATATTTATGGTTTTCACATAACTTTTTTAGGATTTGATTTTTTTTTTTAAATAGAATTATTTATAGTTTCTAAAATGGCTGCTCTTCTCATTTGGTAACTTTTATCCTTTATGTAAAACACTAATATAATGAGTCTCTGTGAAAACTATTTAAGCTTTATTCTGTGAATTTTAATTATAAATTCAAGGCAATAACTTCTAGGATTAATCTGTATGCAAAATTTGATTCATAATATGACTGAAGTAGGGAAAAGAGATTAATTCCAGCCTGTAATATATTATTATCAGTCCTATAGAGCTATATATTATATATTTTACTGAGAAATATAAGAGTGAAAAGGCTGGAGTTAATTCTTCAGCAGCCATACTGAGTGTAAGAGCCTCGATGGTTTGTCCTGCTGATTGTCCAGTGTCTGGTCTGGAGCAGGAGTGGGCTGGTGCTAGGGAAGGCAGCTGGGAGCAGCCTGAGCCCTGGGGCTGGGTCCCCAGCTCCTGGGCTGTGCCTGGAAGCAGGCTGTGGTCAGTGATGTGCTGGGTTTGATCCTCTGAGTTGGAGCAGAGATCCCCACTGGGCTCATTCTCTGAAGGAAGCGTTGGAAGCTCCCAGTATGGAGAAAATAACGTTTTGTTTGGGGGGCTGGCTGTGCTGCAGGGTCCCTGCGGTGCTGGGCTGTGTCCCTGCCTCTTGCAGAAGGTGGCTAGAAGTCCACCTTGGTGGCACCTCCCAGCTGGGAGCTCTGAGCTTTCATAGATGGCTGGCTCTGAACCTCGTGCAGCAGGTCTGTCTTAATATATCATGTACATAGCTCCTACCTCTTCTGGGAGTTAGACCAATCCCCCCCGTGCTTCCAGAGCGAAGGGCGCTGTGTGTGTCCCACGCCTCTGTTTCAGGAAGGCATTACAGACCTTTGTGCAAGTCGTGCTCTCCTGCAGCTCTTTGAATCTGGTGTGCTTTGAGACAAAATCTGAGTGGGGGTCCTCAAACTGAGTCACTGGGTGGGCAGCACAAAACCAGACACTTGCAAAGGCTGTTCAGAAAAGTCACCCACTCCTGAAGCCACCTCACTGGGGCTTTGTTGTAGGCTTGAGGCCAGCTTCATAGAGGTGAGAGAACAAAGTTCAGCTTCAGCCAGTGGCAGCTGCTTCTCAGAGCCAGGCAGGCGAAGCGGGGAGCCCAGGGGAGCCATGTATTGAGACATTGGTGTGAAAGGACTTTTCCCAAGGCTCCTCCTCCAGCTTGACTCACTCACTTGGTCCCAGTACAAGCGTGTTCGGGGAAACTGCAGGCTCTGGGAGGCTCTGAAAACTGCACAGAGTTCACTGTAGACTGGGAAGGAGAGGGAGGATTTTACTGCCTGGACAGCCCTGCCAGGAAGGCAGGAGCCGTGTCTGCTTCTCTGGGTATTTAGATTCTCTTGTGTAATTGCTCTTGGGGATTTTCCACTGTTACTGATCAATTTATTTTATTTTATTTTTTATTTTTAATTTCCCCCCCCTTGAATAAACTGGTACTTTCTAAAATTGTTTTTTTGGACTGTTTCTGATCTGAAATTACTTTTGGGAGCTGGGTAACAGGGAGCTCATGTTTGTGTTTCTTGGTTTACCGAAGGGGGAGGCACTCTGGCTTCTGGCTTGGCGGTGGCCTGTGGCTCAAAGGGCCTTTGTCAGCTGCTCCTGAGCTGTCTCCAGTGTCTGACCCACAAGTGATTCCTGTAGGACCAGTGTCACTGGGTTTCTGGAGCTACTGGAGCTCCTCCAGGCAAGTAAAGCAGATACAGCCCAGCACAATGAGGTGAGTCGCTTTTCTGGGGGTCAGTTTTGTGATGGCACTTTGAGAGGACTGTCCCCTGGCAGCCAGAAGGGACAGAGGGAGGTAGAGATGAGCTTGTGTGTGTCCCCTGGTGACAGCAGCATGTTCCTGTGCCCCCAAACATAGGGGAGCAAGGTGCAGAGGGTGTTTGCTTGTCCAAGTTTCAAGCCAACCCTGTTTTAACTGATGCGGGCCTTCAGCTAGGGGCAAAGCTGTTTCAGCTTCCCTGGGATCAGCTGCCCTGGGACTCAGCCCACGTACCATTTTGGACTAAAGCAAAAGTTTTTTTGACTGTTAAGCAAGAGATGGAGGAAGCTGCTGCGTCTCCAGGCGCCTCTGCTCTGACAGTTTGGTCCTCTTGAGTGATGGGACCCATCTCTGTCTCCCCGGGGATGTTGGGAGAGGGTGAGCTGTGCAGAGAGCAGGGCTGCTCAATGGGGGAAGTGTGGAGTCTCTGAAGTGCTGTATTTAAATGGATTATCATCCTCCAAAACCCCTAATTCCCTTCTTCCTGGTGGGAACTCCTGCTTTGGGTGATTAGAACTAGCAGGGATGGGGGAACCAAATTAGGATTAGTACACAGGCTCCCTTGGATGTGAGGGAGTAGCAAGCACTTGCTCTGCTCCTTTTTGCCTGGTCCATCACTGGTGTGATCTCGAAGGTCCTCTGAGAGCCTGCTTCTAGTACCAAGGAGAAGCTGTGTGCTCGCAGGGCTGATCTTTGCTCCGTGGGAGCTGCTGTTTGTCAGTAAATTGGTGACGTTCACCTGCGATCATGTTCTTGTGCTTTATGTGGCTGTGACACATTCTTGGACTTGCTCCTTGGAACAATGTGGGGTTTTTTTCCCTCCTGGGCTTCATCTCTCTGTTGCAAGAATCCCATGTACTTTCCAAAACAGCCCTTAGCGTAAAAGCGCCTTGTTTTTGCAAAGCAATCTGGATGGGTACTCGGCAAATCCCCGGAGTGCAAGCCTGGCTGCCTGCCCGTGCTCTCAGAGCTGCAATTCCTGGGGTGGATTTGTCACCATTCCCTCCTTTCTGCCCCCCCCAGCCAGCCTGTCTGCATCTGGTGTTAACCCATGGGCAACTCGCACTAATGCCTTGTGAATTCTTGGTCTTCAGCTCTATCCCCAAAGTTGTCACTTGGTTGTTTTTCCCCCTAGCACTGCTCTGGTTTTAAAACCAAAGCCCTGAGGACCTGTTTCATCTGGCTTGAAAATAGTTGGACCCTTCCTGGGTACTGATCCAGTGGCCATGGGCAGCTCTGCCCTTCCTGAACCCTCCCTGGCAGGAGGGGCTCAGGGGAGTGAGCAGAGGAGGTGCTGGAAGATGTAGTGTAACTTTGCTGATCCCCTTGACTTCGTGGCTTCCAGGGGGGTTTTGAGGCAGAGTTCACGGGTGTTTGGGTCTCTTGTTTTGCAGGGTGAGCCGTGGTGCTGGGGTGAGTGCTGTGCTGTTCTGTGTGCCAGAGAGGTGCCGAAATGGGTCACGGTGATGGTGTGCAATAGTGCTGGTGATTGTGGTGCCTGTCCTCAGCATCTCGAACCCTCTGAAGGGGCACAGGGCACCCACCTCTCTGGGCAGGACACCCAGGCTGCCCACAGAGACTGTGGAGTCCAGGAGGGGACAATTCCTCGGTTGCCCAAGGAAGTTGTGGCTGCTCCTCTCTGGAAGTGTTCAAGGCCAGGCTGGATGAGGCTTTGAGCAACCTGGTCTAGTGGAAGGTGTCCCTGCTGATGGCAGGGGGCTTGGAACTAGATGATCTTTAAGGTCCCTTCCAACCCAAACCATTCTATGATAATTCCTGGTCCCCAGAGTCATGGGGGACCCAGGAGCATCCCCAGTGTGCTGGGTGCTGAGCAGGGTGCACAGCTTGGCTCCCTGCAGGTGTGGGATGTGGAGAGCCCACGGGATGGGGCTCCCAGTACACCCCTCCCTGCCCACTGGGGCTGGAGGGCACCACTAGGGGGGTCACTGGACTCCCTGGGGGAGCTGCAGCTGTGGGGGAGGTAATGGGGCTGTGGGCTGCTGGGTGAAAACCTTCCTTCTTCACTATCTCTGGGTGCAGCAGGGATGTTCTATCGTTGGGGGTAACCCCTTCCAGCTCCTCCTCTGTCCCAGCTTGGTGTCAACCGTGGAGTGGATGTCTTTGGGGCGCTGAGCCCATCACATACACCCAAGGGGCTCCTGGAGGGTTGTGTTTCGGACAGACTGGGAGGAGCAGGAGGGCTGGGCTGCTCGCTGCCGTGTGCCGGAGCAGCAGTGCCCACGCAGGATAACAAC